CCTGCCCCACTGAGCCAGGCCTCTGTCTGCAGGTGTCCCCCATGAAGCCCCTGGAAATCAAGACCCAGTGTTCGGGGCCACGGATGGACCCTAAGATCTGTCCTGCCGACCCTGCCTTCTTCTCCTTTATCAACAACAGCGACTTGTGGGTGGCCAACATCGAGACGGGCGAGGAGCAGAGGCTGACCTTCTGCCACAAGGGTGAGGCCGGGCGCGGGGTGGGGAGGGGGTGGACGTGGAGGCGATGGAACACCACTACCACTACCAACCAGCCCCTTCTCTGTGCCCCTGTGTGGAGGGTGGGGCGGATGGGAACCCGCTCTTCCTTGTGGTCAGTCCCCTCAGCCACCACTCCAGCTTCTGCTGGAGATCCTTGCCCCACCATGCACCCCCACCAGACCACCAGCACCTGCTCAGAGCCTGGTCTCCTGGCCACCACAACTCCCCACCCCACCCCTACAGTAATCCCACAGAGTCCTGCTGCCTGGCTTTCCTCTGTGTGAATCACCCATGCCATGGGGTCCTGGCCTGCCCGCTAGATGCTGCCCATCTCAGCCTTTGTACCCCTGCCCTTCTGTCCTCCTCCACGCTTCCAGCCCAGAGCTCACCAGACCCGGGCTTGCATCAGGCCCCTGCCTGCCCAGGGTGATGTCACCCCTGTGCAGAAGCCGGTGGAAATCCGAGGGCTGTGGCTGCTCCCACCTACCATCGTGCCCCAGGGCCTGGTGCCCTCTCGATAAGCCTGAGCTGCTCAGCAGGGGTGACTGGGACACTGGCCCTGTGCTGAGACGTTGTTAGCTGTCGCAGCAGTGCAAGGATGTTCCTGGCATGGAGTGGGTGGGGTGGCGATACTGCTCTATACCCCATGGCGCCCAGTACAGCCCCCAGGATGGCCCCCAACATCAGCAGTGCCAGGAGAGCAGCCCTCCTCTGAACCAGACCCTCATCTCCCACCTGGCTTTTTCCCCTCCAGGCTTGTCCAGTGTCCTCGATGACCCCAAGTCTGCGGGTGTGGCCACCTTTGTCATCCAGGAGGAATTTGACCGTTTCACTGGCTACTGGTGGTGCCCCACAGCCTCTTGGGAGGGTAAGTGCCTCTCTGGTTTAAAAACACTTGTGCAAGGGACTTCCCTGGTGATCCAGGGGTTGAGACTCTGTGCTTCCACTGCAGGGGGTGTGGGTTTGATCCCTGGCTGGGGAACTAAGATCCCTCATGCTGCAAGGTGCTGCAAAAAATAAATAAACACACTTCTACAAATGCTCTTCTATTAACAGAAACACAGTATACATGCTAGTCTACCCTTCATGCTTTTCATTTAATATTAGCCTTGGCCAGCTTGCTGTTGACACTCAGGCTGCTGTTACAGAATACCACAGCCAGGGCACCTTATAAACAACGGATATTTATTTCTCACTGTTGCGGGGACTGGGAGTCCACGACCAAGGCAGATTCATTGTCTGGTAAGGGACTTTCCCTGGCTCCCGGGTGCCGTCTAATCTCCCTGTCCTCATGTGCTGAAGGGGCAGGGAGTTTTCTGTGGTCTCCTTTTTGTAAGGGTACTGATCCCCTTCATGAGGGCTCCACCCTCATGGCCGGATCACGTCCCGAAGGCCCTACCTCCCAATACATCACACTGAGTAGTGGGGAGCTAGGACCTACCATTTGAATTCTGGGGGGATGCACACATTTTGTCCGTTGTAATCAGAACACAGAGAATCGGTACTCTACCTGTGGATGTCTTGAGTGTCTAGAGAGTAGCCCCACTAGCTGAAACTTGAGAAAGCCCACTTGCAGCAGTAAAGACCCATCACAGCTGTAAATTAATTTAAAATAAAAAGAGGAAAGAAAAGAAAATCCCGCCTTAGAGACATTCCCAGCTGGAAGAGAGATGAGTTGAAGCTACATGCACCTGGAAATTTGATGGGTTTTGCCAGCGAGTTAGGAAGAAGCCGGAGCAGTGGGCCCTTTTGTATCTATGTTTCTTCGTGCTGCCTAAGGCCAGGATGTGTCACCTCTTCCTTGTTCAGCAGAGCACAGTCTATCTTCTGAGTGAGGGAACAGTCATTTCCAGAGCCTGTGAGTAGCGTCAGACCCTCCACAACATAAGCAGAACTGGCCCAGGCCTCCGCTGCCCAGAGTCCCTCTGACCTGAGTGCCAGTGGCCATGGGGCCACAAAACCCAGGGTCCTGGGGACCAGGCATTGGTGTCCACCGCCGTAGCCATGCACCACCCCATCAGCCATCCACTCCCACCTTTACATCAGCTCACCTTTTCCTTAAGTTGATTTGTAAAGAAAGCTTCATGGTTCAACCATGAATACAAGGTCGGCCTGAAAATTGTGCAGTGGGGAGAAACCAGTGCTATACACTCTAGCCAGCACCCAGGTAGAGGTTGAATTGTCAGGGTTGGGTAGGCTGCTGGCACTCCCGAGACCTGGCGGGGATCAGCATGTTTCTAGGGAGGACACTGTCCACACTCCTCCGACTGGCCAGTGATTTTCACCATCGCAACACCTGGTGTGCCTGAGGCCCACCAGGGAGAAGGGCTCCAGGTCAGAAGTCAGGGCCGGGTCTGGTCACTCTGCTCATGACTCTGCCTACCAGAAGCAGGTGACTGTCCCACCCTTCAACTTCATGGTTTACAAAATGAGGTCTCCTCCCCTTATCCCTGTGGGCATGGAGGTGGGCTTCTTCTCTCTGGGGGGCTGTGGTCTCCTGAGCTTTCATGACAACCACAGATGTCTCCAGACATGGTATAGGTCCCTTGGGGACACAGATTGACCCCTGCTGTCATCCGCTGGCCTTGATGACATCAGGGTTCTTACTCTGCTATTCTCAGCAGCTCAGAACCCCTCAGATAGAGCCCCCCGCATGCAGAAGCCCAGGGGCACTCACTCCACTTGCTGTAACCAGCACCCTGCAGAGCAGGTGTGGAGATCTGCAGGCCAAGTGGGGCTTAACCACATTTGACGGATGTTGTTGGTCCACCCTAGCGAGTTAGACGAGGGTATAAGATGCAGAGGGGACCCTTCTCAGCAACTGAGAAAGCAATGGCTGTGGGCTCTGTCCCCTTGACCTTGGCACTGGCAGCCCCCATGCCGCTTGCTTAGCCAGCAGCTCCTGACTACTCGCTTCCTTCTTGTGACAATGTTCATGGCACCCTTTCTTGCCCCAGTCCTGAGTGCTGGTCTGCTTGGGTGGGTGTGACCAAGTCCCACAGATGGGGCAGCTTGGACATCACAGCTTGGAGACTGGATGTCCTAGGTGGAGGCATTGGCAACTTTGGGTGTCTGGGCCTCACCGTGGGGGAGCAGAGTCCTGTGTGAGCAGGAGTGGGGGACAGCAGGGGAATGCCTGGCACCCTCAGCAGGTACCCCGCTCCTTCCCAGGGTCAGAAGGCTGCAAGACACTGCGGATCCTGTACGAGGAAGTGGATGAGTCTGAAGTGGAGATCATCCATGTGCCCTCCCCTGCGCTGGAGGAAAGGAAGACGGACTCCTACCGGTACCCCCGGACAGGTGAGGGCCTGGGATAGGTCAGGGCCCAGGACAGGTCAGGGCAGCTCGGAGATGTCTGAAGCCTTGTGGAACATGGTAAGGCAGCAACCAGGATGGGCCCACAGGACCCAGGCAGGGATAAACCCAGAGAAGCAGGCTGGGCTCAGGAACAACAGCCAGGCCAGCGCCACCATCAGTGGTGACTGGCGTCCTGCCTTGGGGCCCAGGAGACAATAGGAGCCCTGGGGAGGTAGTGGAGGGTGTGGCCCCTCTGACGGCACGTCGGACTGTCACTGCCTTGTGAGAGTCAGAGTTTGCCCCGTGTCTCAAGAGAAGCCAGAAATCCAGACTCACCCACGAAATCTACCAATTTATTTTTTTTTAATGTGGACCATTTTTAAAGTTTTTATTGAATTTTTTTATAACATTGCTTCTGTTTTATATTTCAGTTTTTGGCCAAGAGGCTTATGGGATCTTAGCCCCCTGATCAGGGATTGAACCTGCACCCCCTGCATTGGAAGCTCCGAGTCTTAACCACTGAACCACCAAGTCCCAGAAATCGACCAGTTCTTAAACATGTCTCAAATTATTTAAAAATAATTTTAGCAGGACTTCACTGACACCCAGTGGTTAAGACTTTGCTTTTTAATGCAAGGGTTGCAGGTTCGATCCCTGGTTGGAGAGCTAAGATCCCACATGCCACGCTAGGCGCAATCACACAATTTTAAAAAAGAAAAATGAACTCGGTGAGCCACACAAGATACTCATGCAGGCCAGGTTTAGCATCTTCGGGGCCCCTGTGGAAGCCTCTGAGAGACTTGTCCCTGCCGACTGTGGGCCGTGCTAGGCAGAGCCTTCCTGGGGAAACTTCCAGGCCCTGGTATGAATGGGGAGGTCAGTCTTTCCCTTCCATTGCTGGAAAGGTGAGGAAGCAGAGCTCAAAGATATCACCTGCCAGGGTGCTAGAGCCATGAGGCCAGAGCTGAGACGTGTCATAGGAACTGAATCCCACCCTGGAGAGCCTGTCTTGGCCGCCCCAGCCTATAGGCTGCCTGCCTCCTGACTGCTGAGCACCAGCTGTCGCCAGACATGGGCCCTGTTTCTGCATCATGGGTGCTTTCATTAGGGGCATGTGCCGTCTTTACACCCAGCTTTCAAGGTCTCCCGAGGCAGGGAGATGTCTTCCTCCTGTCTTGTGTCCCCCCGTGATCCCCAACCAGCCCAGGTCTAATCTCTGTTCTTACACAGCAAAGATGTAGCCACGTCCCCACTGGGACCATGGTCCAGGCTCACAGTCAGTCCTGCCTGGCGGCCTTTGTTCCCCAGGCCAGAGAGGGTGACACACCCACAGAGGGACCTTTGGACAGTTGGTGCCTTCCTCCCCTCTCCCCATGTCAGCTGGGTCATAGCCCGTGAGCATCACCTGCACCCCCCGCTGCCAGCCGCTGCCCCAACTCCGGCTGTCAGCCCTCTTGGTCCACCTGCCAGGTCCACCTCGCTTTCATTTCTGCAGGCAGCAAGAACCCCAAGATCGCCTTGAAACTGGCTGAGTTCCAAATCGACAGTCAGGGCAAGGTAAGTGTGGCCGGGGTGCCTGGAAGAAGTGTCCAGATGAGGAGGGGAGGCCGGGGTCTGAGCTGGGAGACCAGGTGGCCCCTCACCCCCCACTCCAGGTCAGGTGCTTCTCTGGCCAAGTGAACTCAAAAGAGGCTCCACCTGGAGCCCCGGCTTCCAGGCCTCACCCTTCCACCCATCACCCTGAACCTGGACTCAGACAGGGAGTGGCCCTGAGGTGCGGACAGGGGACCCCTGTGAGTGAGCTTCGAGTGGAGGCCCTGCAGGGGTTGGGCTGCCCAGAAAGGTGGTGGCTTGCAGAGCTTCTGGAACAGAGTCCAGGGAGCGGGGGTGCAGTCACCTGGGTGCAGACCTGACCTTAGACCAAGGGTACCCCCGCCCCCGCCTCTGGGCAGTTCCTCATCCGTCACCTCAGCAGACGCATCAGTGTTCTGGGATCCTTCTCTCCGTCACCTAGTCAGCATCATGGATGGGGGTCATCATCACCCAGGGAGTCACTCTTCAGGATCCATAGCCAGGAGGGCAGAGGAGGCTGTGGGGAGAAGGGTGGGAGGTGGGGATACCCAACTCCACGTGAGGATGTTGGGTGGTGCCCCTCATGGCAGAGATCAGAGCAGGCTGGTAAGCTGGGAAGCCCCTTCGTATTTTAGCCAGAACGGCTTCTTGTGTAATGTTTCAGAAAAGTGCCTGAGATAAACTACACTTATTTTCACGATCTAGGGGTTGGTTTTGGTTTGGGCACAAGTAGGACCTAACCAAACCCCTTCTCCACTCCTGACCGGAATGTTCTGGTGGATCCTCCAGGGACCTGTGCTAAGAGGCTTTGCCGAGCCCCACCAGCTGTTGTAAATGGTTCCAGGCCCTCCCTCAGACGAGCAGGGTCCTAAGATGGCTGGGAGGTTTTGCCCACTAACCCACAGGTGGGGGATGCAGAGGTTGGGGGCAGGCCTGGGTGTGGGATGTGCTGGGCCCTGCTGGCCTCTCTCCCATCCACCCTCCCCAGGAGATGCCCCGCTGGCCCTGTGTCACCTCCAGGAAGCCACAGGGACCAGAGGCTTGTCTTGCCCAAGGCCACCTGGCTCTTCAGCAACAGCCATGCCAGAACCCTTGGTTTCCAGTCAACAGGCTGTCATAACAAAGACCCCCTGGGAGGCTTCAGTCCCCAAAGTCTGTCATTTGTTCTGGAGGCTGAAGGTCTGAAACCAAAGTGTTGACAGGGCGGCTTCCTCCAGAGACCTGGCAAAAGACCTGTCCCTGGCTATCTGAGGCCTGGGGATGCCACCTTCTCCCTGCATTGTGTCGCAAGATGGGATGCGTGGCGCCTGTGTACACATCTCCCCCTTTTATAAGGATACTCATCCTGTGGGTTTGGGCCCCCACACCCCAGTCTGACCTCATCTTAACTGATTACATCTGTAACTGCCCTGTTTCCAAGTCAGGCCCCCTCTGTGGGTCCCAGGAGTTAGGGCTTCAGTGTGTGGCTCTGGGGAGTTACAGTGCCTCACGGCAGTGGCAGCACATAGCTAGGCTGGATGGTAACCTACTTCTGTCTGTTCCCGTTTAGATTGTGTCAACGCAGGAGAAGGAGCTGGTGCAGCCATTCAGCTTGCTCTTCCCGAAGGTCGAGTACCTCGCCAGGGCTGGTTGGACCCAGGACGGCAAGTAGTGAGTGTCATCCCTCAGAGTCCAGGATACCCCTCACAGTCACTTCTGCCCTGGGTTGGGGCAGACACACTACACCAGAGCCCCAAAGCACACCTGGGGGCCAGACCTGGCCGGCTGCCCATCACCATGCAGCTCATAAGAATGGCTTTTCTGTTTTCCAGTGATGCGGGGGCCGGGGATCCAAAGAGGAGTATTTCATCACATGGAAATGATAGGAAATCCATATTTCAGTGTCCAGAGATAAAGGTTTATTGGCACATGGCCACACCTCTGTGGCCACTCACCCCACACAGGCAGGGTTGAGTAGTTGAGAAAGGAACAGTGGCCCGTGATGAGGGTATCTGGTCTGTCTTTCTGTTAAGAGTCAACTTTTCCATCTCTGACCCCAACAGATCTTTGTTTACAATACATTGAAGTTGGGACTTCCCTCGCGGTCCAGTGGTTAGGACTCTGCACTTTCACTGCAAGAGGGCGAGGGTTCAATCCCTGGTCTGAGAACTAAGATTCTGCATGCTGTGCATTGCGACAAAAAAAGAAATAAATAGAAAAAAGATTTAAACTAACTGTCCGCTTAGAGCAGGATATGAAACAAAGGACAAATAAGGGCTGAGGATTTGGCAGAAGTCTCCTAAGTTCACCAGTGATGCAAGGTGTTTGCAGAACAGCTGGATCGTACAGTTTTGTCAGCACCCACCCCCACCCCCCACCACCCCCGTCTCCCTCCTGGGCATGCCTGCCAGCCAGGGAGGCTTTATGTGCTGTGTAGTCACTTGCTTGTGTCCCTGAAGCCGACAGGAGGAGCCATTCTGATCATGCACACGATAGGCAGGGGGCGTCTGGCCCCAGCTGGCCTGCACCAAGCCCTGAGCTTCCCATCCTCCCATCTCACCCTCCAGCGCCTGGGCCATGTTCCTAGACCGGCCCCAGCAGCACCTCCAGCTGGTCCTCCTGCCCCCAGCCCTGTTCATCCCTACCACTGACAACGAGGAGCAGCGGGCAGCCTTCGCCAGGGCTGTGCCCAGGGATGTCCAGCCATACGTGGTATATGAGGAGGTCACCGACGTGTGGATCAATGTAAGAGCTGGGGTGTGCGGGCTCTGTCCTTCCGCACCTCCTGGTTTCCCATGTCCCCACCCCCAGGTCCCCAGCTTCTCAATGTGGAGAAGCCAGCTCAGGAGGGAGGGTTGGGGGGGACTGCCCTCTGGCCAGGCTGTCCAAGCCTCCCCTTTCTCAAAGAGACACAGCCCGAGTTTCCCCCCACCCACTCCTGCCACAGCCCCCACTTACGACACGTCCTCTCTCTGCCTGGACAGGTTCACGACATCTTCTACCCCTTCCCCCAAGCAGAAGGAGCGGACGAGCTCTGCTTCATCCGCGCCAACGAGTGCAAGACTGGCTTCTGCCACCTATACAAAGTCACTGCTGTCCTGCAGCCCCGCGGCTATGACTGGACCCAACCCTTCAGCCCTGGGGAAGGTGAGCAATTCCAACTGATACTTAACACTCTTGCCTGCGGTTCAAGCCGGTGGTTCAGTGCACGGCTTGTTCACGGGTCCCACCCCACAGGGAGTGGGTGTTTATGATTAAGAGACTGGCCTTTCCCAACGCCGTTCCTGGTCTGGAAGGGCTATCACAGCCACGACTATTTCTTTTGGCAGCAGGGTTCATCCAGCACCGACTGCATGCCAAGGCCCTTTGTGTACCAGGGCTGTGCCACATGACCCTTTATAGGAGAAGCTGCCCTGCCCTGCACACAGGGAGGGTCACTGTAGAAAGGGACAAGTGTGGACATCTCTGCCGTAGAGGGGAGGCAGGCAGACATCCAGAGGCTGTGAAAGACACCAGGAGGCCCGGAGCACATCAGTGGATGACGTGACACAGGGCAGAGACCTGTAGCAGAGGTGGCCAAACAGTGCTCCAGGCAGAGAGCACAGCCGGTGCGAAGGCCTTGGGGTAGGACTGGGCCTGGTGTGGGGGAGGGACAGTGAGGAGGCCCATGTGGCTGGTGCAGAGTAGTTGGGGGGCAAGGGAGGGAAGGCCTGGTGTGGTTGGGGGGACCCTCCGGACCATGAGAAGCATGGGCTTGAACCCAGAAGAAGGCTCAGGAGCTCAGAGTGAGTTGGAGCAAGGCAGGGGAACCGCAGGCTGTGCCATCACCCAGGCCCTCGGGGGTCTCGGGCGGCTTGGTAACGAGGCGCACAGAGGCAGTAGAGCTGGAGCAGCGCGTCGGCAGGGCCACCGGCCCCAGAGGAGGCCTGTGCGACTCGGCTCCCCGTGTGGGCCCAGCAGTGAAGGCATCGGGGACAGTGTGGGGGCAGGCAGTGGTGCACCCACCTCGCGGTGAGCGAGGGGCAGAGGAGTGTGTGTCTCTCCTGGGTCCTCTGGTGATGGTCGCTCAGCCCAGGTCTCTGTTCTGTACACCCTGTGGATCTGTGTGGGGACATCTGACCCTCCATAGGAGACGTTGACAGTAGTCTGCTTCAGACCCAAGAGAATAGAAAAGATCTGTAACCACTGTTGATAAACTGTTTTTAATATAAAATTTATAACACATGGCAAGAAACATTACATATTGTTATTTACCTGATAAGAACTCTAAAGCGAGGACTTCCCTGGTGGTCTAGTCGCTGAGAATCCACCTGCCAATCCTTGGGTCAGGAGGATCCCACATGCTGCGGAGCAGCTAAGCCTGTGTGCCCTAGAGCCCGTACTTCTCAACACAGTGAGAAGCCCGCTCACCACAACTAGAGAGGGCCCACGTGTAGCAGCAAACACCAAGCACGACCAAAAATAAGTAAATAAATAAATATAAAAAAAGAGATACCTACCCCCCCCCAAAAAAAAAAAGCCCAAAAAGCCTACTGTAACTCCACTGAGCCTTTGCTCAGTCCCAGAGTTTAGTCAAGACCTGGTTCCCAACCTGTCCTAACCAGTCACAAGTCCAAGGCCTGGAAGGAGGTAGTTTGGCCCACGAGGTTCTAAAATTGGGTGCCTTTTTTTTTTGGCCTTATCAGTCTGCTTGTGAAATCTTATTAATAGTTCCCTGACAAGGAATCAAATCTACACCGCCTGCAGTGGAAGCTTGGAGTCAGGAGAAGCTCAGAGTCCTAACCACTGGGCAGCCAGGGAAGTCCTGAAAATTGGATGTTTTTGATAAAAATGCAGATCTCAGGTCTGTGTCCCATGCCGGGGGCCCAGCTGTTCCGCCTGCCTGCCCCCCAGCTGCCTGGGCTTTGCAGTGAGTCCATTTTGTGCTTTGAGTCCGTGTCACAGCTTCCCTGGGCCCCTTTCACCTCTTTTCCTATCCTTCCAGATGAATTTAAATGCCCCATCAAGGAGGAGATCGCACTGACCAGCGGCGAGTGGGAGGTTTTGGCGAGGCACGGCTCCAAGGTACCCGAGTCTCCACACACACCTGTATACATATACGTGCACAGACACACACACACAGTCCTGACTCCTTCAGACCCTGAGAGCCTGTGGCTTCTCCTCCACCCCCATGCCCCCCACCTGGCCACCCGCTCCTGCTCTGCAACTGAGTGCCATGGGGGCTGCACTTCCCACCAGCAGGAGATCCTGGGTCAGGAAGCAGGGTGCTCTGCGTTTCCTTTGTTGGATCCTGGTGGTTGGGGCCTGGCCCATTCTCCCTGCCACCAGGAGTGTCCACTTGGCCTCCTTCGCCTGCATGAAGCTACCTGTGGACAATGGTGGGGCCCACCGTGGAACTGCCCTGCATTCATCACTGGGGGCCAGGTCTGCAGAATTCTCGATTTTATGCAGAGACCCCTTAATCAGACGTCCTGGAGCCCTCCCGCCCTCCCAGCTTTTATAAAGGTCTCCTGGTCCAAAGACTCAGACAGACCTAAACTGTCCAAGTGCCCAAGAGGAGATGTAGGCCAACCTTTTTAAAGCCCAGAGCTGGGTGGCCTGTGTGCTGCCAAGAGAAGGGGTCTGGACACTCCTGGGCAGGGGGCAGAGAAGGCGTTCATTACAGTGTCAACCTGCACCTCATTTGACCTGACAGCCCCCATTCTAGGCAAGAGCACCCAAGGCACACCTGGGTTAGCACACAGATGTGCACTGTTTATACGGTGGAAAAGAGCAGTTTGAAAACACTCGATGAGGAGACAAGTGACCTCCTCGGGCCTGGGTAATGTAAGGCACTGTGCCCATGACAGTGGGACCACAGCTGTCCCTACTGGGTGGCTCTGCCGTGCTTGAGTCTTGACGGAGGCACTCCTGGGCTCCTGGCCTCACTCGGCCCAGCCAGCCAGGCACTAAGACTGGGTTTCCTTGCTGTGACACGAGGCCATCAAACAGCTCCAACCCTCCCATCTCCACAGCAGTATCTCCCTCAGCGCTGTGGACACTCGGGGCGACTGTGGGCACTGTGGGTGTGGAGCAGCCTCCCTGGCCCCCACCCCAGCTGTGATGACCACAGATATGTCCAGAGGCTGCCAAATGGCCCGGGGTGCAGAGCGGCCCCAGGTGAGAACCCTGCTTTTAAAGTACTTTGAAGGCTTTTAGCAGCTGGCAGACACACAGGACAATATTAAAATCTTTCTCCAGGGACTTGCTGGGTGGTCCAGTGGTTAGGACTCAGTGCTCTCTCTGCCAGGGCCTGGGTTCAGTCCCTGGTAGGGGAACTAAGATCCCACATGCCGTGCTCACGCCTGGAAAAAAAAACAAAACTTTTCTTTGTGGTCAAAGTTTAACCCTCTGCACACCTTATCTTTTTACCTAGAAAATTTCTTTAAAAAAGCAACATTTTAAGAAAGAAAAAAGGAAAGAATGCCCTTTGCCGTCCCTGCCCACAGCCACATGCTCCACCCGTGTGCCTCGGGTCTGAGTGGGTCCCTCACCTGCAGACCCTCCTTCCCACCCACACAGCTTCTCGCAGAGTCTTGGTGACAAAACCAGCACACGACTTAACCACAGGTGGTTTGGGATTTTCTGATGACATCCTCCATTTTCAGAAAACCTGCATTTATTTTCCAGTGAGCACGTGACAACCACCATATCAGCATTTGTTGTAAAAATTGAACTTCTCTATACGGTCCCCTTCCATCCTCACCCCGGGCCCCCGTGACCTGCCTCTGTCCTCAGAAGTGACCACAGTGGGGAATCACTATAGGTCTTTCCTGTTTGCACAGGAACATAAGTTCCTGTTTGTAGGGTTGCACGGCTTCTGGTGGCCCCAGAGAGGTGTGCTGTAAGAGTGGAGCCAGCCTGTCTTTAGGACATTCCAGCTGTCAGCTCTCTCATCTGGAGAGCACTTGGGGCATTGCTGTGCCTTCATCTGGAATTCGCCTCTCCATTGCCATCCTTGGGAGCAGTCCCCAGGCACAGAGGCCTGTTCAGAGCACCTGTGCTGCACGGTCCGCCCCGCAAGGCAGTGCCTCTTCCGTCCCCAGAAAGAGGTGCTTTCTTCCTCCTCCTGAGGTCACTGCCTGAGAACCACGCCCAGGTCTGATGGGCTTTTCCTCCAGGAAATAGCGGGGCAGGGAGTTAACACTTCTTAACCCTGAGCACTTGGGTCAGAGGGTGGGCTGTCCCCACTGGGGACCAGGACTGGGGGCTGCTGGACCCAGGACAGGCCCTCCCTCAGCCTCGGTACCCCCCACACTCTGCCTTTAGTCCCCCACTGGTGGCTCTGGGCCCGCCTGGAAGGAGCTGTCCAGACTGGGAGTTCTGATTCCAAGTCGGACCAAGGACATGTGGTTAGCCCAGCTCTAGTGGAGTGGGCTTCTTCCCTGCGGGATCCAGGACCATCTCCCAGACAGTTCTCCAGCTGGTGGGCTGAAGCCAGCTCTGGGAGAACAGTCCTCCCTGTTCACAGAACACTGAGCCCTCCCAGGGGTGGGGAGGGAGGCTCCGGGGGCCATGTCACCAGGAGCCCCCGTGCCACCTGCAGATCTGGGTCAACGAGGAGACGAAGCTGGTGTACTTCCAAGGCACGAAGGACACGCCCCTGGAGCATCACCTTTATGTGGTCAGCTACGAGGTGGCCGGCGAGATCGTGCGCCTCACCACGCCCGGCTTCTCCCACAGCTGCTCCATGAGCCAGGTGGGCCCCTCCCCAATGTGCCCTCCCTTGGAACATTCCAGGATATCAGGCAGCAATCTGGAACATGACCACAGGGCCACCCTCCACCCAGACAAGTAGCCAGTGTAGTTTGCTGGCTGTAGGACCAGCAAGCTGGGCAGGTCCCTCAGTCAGCACCCAGGGACCCCTGGTCAGGGGACAGGCTCTTCTCACCTCTCAGGGTAGGGGTGGTGGTAACAGCAGGGTCACACGAGCAAACACACCGCACAGGGTATAGACGGCAGGCAGTTAATGCAGGTGGGGGTGATGGGGGAAGG